CAGAAACACAGGATAAAAGAACAAACTAGCATGAAATTAAAACAGCAAACCCTCGATTAGTCTTAATCGATGTGGGAACAGTTAACACGTTTCTGCCTGAGCATCTGAGGCTGCTCGGTGTTTGGTACGGGAACAGCAGTTTTAGTATATATTCTGGGCCCAAGTCATGAAGGGCTTTTAAAGTAATGACTATAATTTGAAAATCAGTTCTAGAAGTAATGGCCCGCCAATGTAGAGTCATTAAGACTGACGTAATATGTTCAGTGTTCTTGGTTCTTCTAAGAAGTCTGGCTGCTGAATTTTTCACCATCTGAAGTTGATTTAATGCTTTCTGATTGAAACCTGTTAAAAGACCATTACAACAATCTCACCGGAGGGAAAAGAGAAAAAAAAACACGTGAAAAATTAGACCATAGAAGCCCAGCCCTGTGTTTGGAGGTCCAACCTTTAAGCTTTGACTGTATAAAGTATACGTCAATTCAAATATGTAATCAAAATGTTTCTGCTAAAGTACGCATAAATCACAGACATGTAGAGGTAATCAAATATGGTATTTTTGTTACTAATATAAATTATAAAAATTACAAATATAAACAACAGAGTGCCACAAAACAACGGTACAGCTACGACAGGTTATAACCTGGGTTTGATCACAGGTTTTATTAGGGCAGTGCAGCAAATCTCTGATCAGTATCTGATCAATATTATTTTATCACCCATATTAAGTATTTAGAGACAAAATGTGCTATTAGGTTGAGATTAACTTAATTAAAAACTCCCTCAAATGCTCTGCAAACATGGCTACACACACAAAAAAAATGTATTTTTAGTTTATTCAGACCATAACACTGAAATGTGTGACATATTCACCGTATTACGGCTCATGCTGTAATAGTTTTTGCTATCCGTTTACACACAGCGCCCCCTTTCGGTGGTTTTATTTTTTGCATTACACTGGATCCATCAACAGAAGACAAGATTAAGTGTTTTTTCCTAAAATGCAGATGTGGCTTTATCCTTACTGTGAGGACTTCCTGGGAGGATTTAAGTTCTACCTAGCCAGTAACGATGAAGACAGTGATTACATTAAAAAAATTAAAAGCACAGCGTGGAGTTAGCAATAACCCCAAACATGTTTCTATCAATCGGCAGCGTGCTGCACCCACCGAGTACTCGGGTAACTGCCGGAGGAAGAAACAAGCCAGAACCTCGTCGCAGTGGAAGGTCCCGTTATGGGTTCCGATCTTTGTAACGGTCATGTTTTCGGTGCAGAGTCTCTTCGGCTCACTTGACATGTAGCGCGTTTCTCCGTTAGCAAAGTGCACGGGCGAACTAAAGCAGCTAACCCGCGAAAATACCCTTCGTGACACGCCTGCTGCTTCACTGGTTACCAGAAAATATCTATTTTTTGTTAATTTAAGCGCCAAAGAAAAAACACGCACGACCCACATCCAAAGAGTAATCCACGAGACGCGCCAGTGGCGGACAGATTTGGCAGCCGGACCGGATGTGCTGCTCCTGTTTAGCGCACTAAAAATGCCGGGTAACATTTTTGTTGTTGTCACCATTGTTATCGTTGTGTTGTTTGCCTTTATGGGCTTAAATAACTCACGCAGACAGTGATAAACAACACTGGTGACAACAACACGGGTAATTGTTGCAATTACATTATCTCAGAAGCTCGTTTGCAGGAGAATGCTTTTATGCTAGCTCAACTTGTGTACAGCAGAGGACGCTGCAGAGTTAAAAAAGCAGGACTTGGACACTGTATAGTGCACAAATAGTTAATTATGTACTACTGTACATGATTTATTTTATTTAAAAAGTATATTCTACAATTACATAATAATAAAAAATAATAATGTTAAATTTACAAGGATTCGCTGTTTCGTATTCTCATACAAAATAGATATTTGTCAATGAGAGAGGCAAGAAAAGATACAAGGAGGTGAAGTGAAGGTGGAATAGTTTAAATGCCTGGGGTCAACTATCAAAAGCAGGGGACAGTGCACAAGAGAGGTGAAGCAGAGAGTGCAGCCAGGGTGGAGAGGGTGTAGGTTAGAGTCAGGGGTGATTTGTGAGAGAAGGATGGTAGCAAGATTCAAAGGAAACGTTTACAAGATTGTAATGACACGTGCTGTGATGTATGGATAGAGAAGGTGGCAGTGACAAAATGACAGGAGGCAGAGATGAAGACTTTCAGGCCTATAGTGTGAGGTAGTGCAATAAATAAATAAAAATAGTCTCATATCTATTTTTATGTATAGCACTATATGATATATACAGCAGTGATGAAAATTTAAATAAATAAATAGAGTTAAAGAAAAATGTAAAAGAAATGAGACAGATTGTGCAAAAGAGTCGGGAAATGGCATTAGAAAATAATAACGTGCACACTTTAAATCTAAGAAACAGAAGCAGGAAGGTAAAATACAGAAATGTGATGGGGCTCCAGTTGAGCAGCTTGGACACAAAGTTACAGAGGCAAGGCTGAGATTGTTTGGACATGTACAGAAGAGGGCTAGTGCACACTGTTCAGTGGATCCTGAAGATGGAGATGTAGGCAGGAGGAAAACAGGTTTAAATAAAAAGCAACACAGACACTGCGACAGGCTGTGCACTTTTTGTGCGTGAAGACGTTGTATCTCTCATTCAAGAGAAATCTTCAGTTCTACAACTGATTGAGACTCCAGGTATTTAACACCTAGCTGGGTTATCCAATAGGATCTCTTCCAGGTTGACGCATCCACTACGTATTAAATACTCGGGACTCTCCATCAGTTATTTTTAAACTAAAAAAAAACCTCTTGGATGAGGTGAAAGTCCATTTTGTCTTATTTTCACCTATTCACAGCTTTGTGCATTTTTAATGCAATCTGAGGTCTTGGTGGTTACAAACCTTTTTGGTTTTTTTTCCCTTTCACAGTTATTTAGGCCACTGTTCCCGCTGGGATGACACAAGAAAAGGTTTTCTACCCTTTGCCCCAGTCTCTGCTTCACCACACTTCGCCACGCTTTCGTTAGAGTAGATAAAGTCATCTTTGGAGATTGATGGCTTCGTGTTTGTCCTGACAGGCAGTGTCAGCTCCTGGGTGTGTGTCTTTCTAAATTACATCCAATCACTGTCAACTTTCCATCTCAAGGATAATGTCAACAAAAAAGATGCACGTGACAACAAAAGAGTCTCAGCACAGTTAAAAAGTTAGTGCATTAGAAATGTGCATATGAATAAATACATATGAATATAAATGCAAATAAACATTTTCCTGGTCAGCTTTGTTCTGCACCGTTTTACACCTTGATGGGCAAAAACTGTAATGTTGCTCCTTTTTAAATGAAATCTGCAATACAGTGACAGGTTTTTAATATGAATGGACACGTGCATGAATAATATTGAAACCTTGAGTTATTGCCTTGGACTGTTTCCTGCCGTGCTGGAATT